AGACTAGACTCCTTCCTAGTCTGGGCCCAATCCTTTCCCCTGGTAAAGTTCTTGTTAGTTCCAGCTCAGGTGGTAACTAGGGGTTTTCTCATGACTGCAGCCCCCTTTGTTCTGTTCCACCCCCTTTTGTAGCTTTGGCCCAAGGTGGGAATCCTTTGTCTCTTTGGGTTCCCCCCCTCCTTATAATTGGAAAAGCACCAGGTTTAAGATGGATTCCAGTACCAGGTGACATGGTCACATGTCCTGTGAGACTCCAACCCTCCATTTTTTTCCGGCCTGACTCACATGAACACAGGAAGGCTTACAAGTAAACAGAGCCATTTACAACCAATTGTCCTGGTTGGTGGGAGCCATCAAGATTCTCAACCACCATTAATGGCCCACACTTTGCATAGTTACAATAGGACTTCAGAGTAATACTTCATATTTCTAGCTTCATATACAAGAATGATACATTCATACAAATAGGATGAACACACTCAGTAGACTATAAGCTTTGTCATGATACCTTACAAGAGACCTTTTGCATAAAGTATATTCCAGTTACATTATATTTACACTTATAAACATATTTTCATAAAACATATGGAGTGCAACGTCACAGGCCCATAGTTTACCACTTCAAGGGCCATGTGAATAGTGTAACACAACACACAGAGACTTTGCACAGGATTCTAAAACCATTGCTCTTTACATAATTGCACGAGAAATACGCAGAACTATACAACAATAATAAACCCTACATGCATTTCCCTGCCTCAGTTTCTTCACCACTCTGGAGTGTTCTTTGGTCTGGGGTCCAGGGTCCTCTAAGGCCATGCAGGGTCCTTCTGCTGCAGTGCACAGCTTATGTTCTGAAACATGGATTCTTCCTCCCCCTCCTCGCGGTCTCTGACCTTGGCGAATGCATCCTCTTCCCCCTCCTGCCCAAAACTTCCTTTGTGTCTTTCCCCTGTGACTCCATTTACAAACTTTTAGCCCCTCGAACAGGTGACCCCAGATCAGCCTCTTCAGGTGATCCCAGACTTTGTTGCATGGTGACAACTCCCCTGAGAAACCAGTTCTCCTGGGGAGGAGCCAGCAGGGCCGGTGCTACCATTTAGGCGAACTAGGCGGTTGCCTAGGGCGCCAAGATTTGGGGGCACCCAAAAGCGGCGCCCCCAATTTTTTTTTTTACAGCGGCCACTGTGCTGGGAGGGAGAGGGAGTCTGAGCCACCGGCGGGCAGCCTAGGGGTTCCCCTGGGTCAGCGCGCCGCCGGCAGCCCAGGGGAACCCCCGGGTCAGCACGCCGCCGGCAGCCCAGGGGTTCCCTGGGTCAGAGCTGCCGCACGGATCCCCAGGCCAGGGGGTGGGGAGCTGCCGCGGGGGGGGGGGGGCGCGCCTCAGAGCAGGGGGGAGCTGCCGCAGGGCTTGGGAGGGTGCAAGGTGGAAGTTTCGCCTAGGGCGCGAAACTTCCTTCCACCGGCCCTGGGAGCCAGCCTATTGTTTTGAGCAATTCAGTTTCAATGGGACATTGTCATTGGCCCTCTATTGTCAGCCCTTTTCCATCAGCCTTCGGAATGCCAGTCCAGCATGGTGGTAAGAGGAGAGAGAAGGTAAAGACCCGCACATCCAAAATGGAGTCTGCAGTCTGACACAGATAAATGTAAAGAGCCCCCAAGATCGAACAGAAGTCATAAGTTGTACATACAGATTTCCCACGTTTCTCCCCCTCAACAAAGAGCAGAGCGGGGATACATGCCAAGTACCCCAGAGATGTTCTGGAATCCCACTTCTAGACAGAGTATCTGCTATTACTTATTAATTCAAACTTCATACATTCAGTTAGTAAACAATCCCACTGATTAAATATACACACACACACACACCAATACACGGTTTTATGAAAAAGGGACAGAATAAGTATGGGCAGAGTTCCTGGGGTCCCAAATGCTCTTGTCACTTCAATACTTCTGACTGGTAGGGGTGTCCACGAGAGACGTGTCCCTCTGCAGGGTGGATCTTGGCACTGCAGTGCTTCTGGGAGATGAGTGGTCCCTGTCCTGGGGCAAGGTTGAATCTCCCTATTTTCTCCCAAGATGAGTCCCTTTCTTCATACTCCTGGAGAGAGGTGAGTTGTGCTTCCTCCTCACTGGGATCAATTACATCTTGACTGACCATCCTGAAACCATACACTAAGAAGAACCTTCCCCCTCTTTTCCATCTTCATCAAGTGATTGCTTCACACCCCTGTGAGGATTTTCACACCCTCTGGCAGGTATCATGAGTTTAGCAGTATTCTTTACCACCCTCAGGTTCCCTTCTCCCAGCAGAGGTCTGATACAAAGCATCGTTCACCCATGCCTCAGTTTCCCTGCTCCCAGCAGGATTTTTTACCCTAGATGCAATCAGCACAGACTTTGTTTCACCAGTAAGGAATAGGCAGAGAGCATGAGCCCTGCAGCACTGAGCATGTGTCAGGCTGTGCTGGTCTTACAAAGGCAGGCTCAGGTTGAGTTCTGGCCCAGAAGAGCAAGGAATTCTGGAAGTTGTAGTTCCCAGAAGGATCTAGGCACTGTAAATTGATAGCAAAGCATGTTGGGAAGAGAGGTTAATGAAGTTCACTTACCTTCCTCAATACAGAGTCAAAAGGAACAGGTCCTGTTCTCTGGCAAGGGAGACATGGATAGCAGCAAACTTCTGCCAGGGCTAAGTCAGGGCCGAGAGCTGCAGTAGGGTTCTCAGCAGAGAGTGAGCCCATGAAGGAGCTTGGGAGGGGCTGAGCCGAAGAAACCTGTGGAAGGACTGGGGAGAAGGCCTAAGAGGCAGGCCGACAAGCAATGCTAGGAACTTTAGTGTTTCGGGCCTCAGTGTTGGAGCCCCTGGTAGGGAGAGGGCACAGGCTGTTCTGTGCCTTAATAGTGCCACATAGAAGTAGTTTTACTGAGACCCCTGCAACCAAGTGCAAAGGATTGTTTGTAGATCCCTAGCTGCAAGAAGGGTGAACCCTTGTTGAGGGGAGGAGGTTGAGGTCTCATACACCTTGAAGAGAGGGCTGTGGCCCAGGGAAGATGAAAGACTTTGTGAGGTCCCTGCTCTGAAGGATTAAGATATGGAATGGGGGTGTTCTCTTTTGGATTTTTCCTTACTTTGGACCAAGCAGACTTTTTAATTTGTCCTGAAGGCCAAACTATTCACAGCTGGGAGGGAAGCTTTGCAGAGAGCAAGATAAATTACTCAAAGGAGGTGAGGAAACTGAGACAGCGCCTGCATCTCCACAGGATGAGATAAGAGCTCTGTGACAGAGCACAAGAAAGGTAGAATCAGGCTCATAGTGTCAAACTCAATGATACAGTATGATGTCTTCTAGCTGGGGTGAATACAGGTGAACCATAGAGTGTATTTACATTCCTACAAAAAAGTTAGGTGTCCTAAATGGGAGACAGTCTGACTGAGTGAAACTAAAACAGAAGTTAAAACAAAATGGAACTTTTGCATATTCTCTCTTGAGATAGAACCACATTGGTATATACAAATACAGTGGTGGTCTTTGATTCCTAATCATTTATTTTATTTATATGATTTATAAAAATATAAATACACTCATCCCTAACACTGCACCCTCTGATGTAATTTAGTGTCAAACACAATGGACTGATCTTCCCACCATAAAATACACTTCAGCAGATGAAATAACCCCCACAGCAAACAACCAAAGCTCTCCAACCTTCAGCAGCTGGACAATGTGATGTGGTGAGACATGGCTGAAGGCCAAAAGCAAAGTTTTTATTGGCAGTACTCTAGGAAAACATATTTTAATGCAATGCTACCAGAGTAATGTTCCTTTCCTTCCAGATCTGTACTTTATACAAAAGTGACCAAAAAATTGCTATGTAAACACCCACCCTCCCACACCCCTCACCTCCCTTTCAGAGGGGCTTTTTTTCTATCCCTTTCAAAAAAACATAGCCTTTCAAATTTGGGACATACATGCATACTTTGTTTTTTTTTAAGCAGGGAATAAAAACTTACAAACAAACAACCCTTCATCAGTGTACCGCCAAATAATTCATCAATATAAGCCTGTTTTTTAAACCATGAATTAGGCACAGCCCACTGGCAAGTTACCATTTCAGGTCTCTATTATGGAAAGTTTTGTGTTAAACTCCACCAGCAGCACTGGTTTTATATCCTTGTTTCATGGACAGCAATAAAGCCCTTGGGAGAACATATAATTACTATCTAATGTGTACAGAGCCAGAAGTTATTTGCAATATTATAATACAGTAGCACATCAACCAATTTGTACAGACTTTAAAAAAAATCTCTCTTTTTTGTTCTTCTTGGAACACTAAAGGAGGACAATGGTGCTTACACAAACAATATAGACTATCCCAGTGGATACATGCAATAAAGGGAAAATTAAAATACCTACTATTTCACTAACCTAGGTTGCTTAACATATTGGTGAGTCACAGTCATTCTTACTGTCCTAAATTTACAAGAATAATGTAATAATGTAAGCAGGTGTTGTCCAAGTCAGAATATCTCCAGGCATAGCTAGCTTTGGGGAGCAGTTAAATTTATGGTCAAGGGATCCCTCCCACTTTGTGGGAGAGGCCTAAATTTAGTGTAGGGCTTCATTTAATTACACTCTCTGTGCACATTGATTGACACTCTGTTAACTTGTTGTTGTAAAGAGAATTGTAGAAAAACGAAAACTTTCTCTAAGAATATAGAGCAGTCAGTATTTACTAATAGTTTCCACACTACAGGACTATAAGTCTTTCTGGGATCACGGCTTTGTGGTACCATCACACCTTAACTCCTGGCACGGGCTCATATTTTTATTAATGGCTGCCACTGAACCTTGTATATAGATTTTATAACTGAATCTTAATATCTAATAAAAGTGGGCAGCAGAGGGAACCTGCATGTACGTGTTTGTGTCAAGAGTTTCTGAAAATACATTTATGGGAGGTCTGAGTTACAAAAGTCATTTGTTCCCCTAATAAAATAAACAATGATTATGTTAATGTTTTCAGTTCAGATGACTCAACTGCATTTTTCTTAAGTTCTTTTTCTTTCCTTTTCTTGTTTTTCATTTTGAGAAATACACCTCCTACAACCAAACCTGAAAGAGAAGAAAAATCATGGCCTAATAAAGGGAATTTTAAAACATTCTTTAAGTATTTCAGCAAGGGATTAAGCTTCATTAATATACAACTATTCACAATACTTTCCCATCCCTAATTGGAACGAAATGGATTTTAGGGATATAGGAATTACCAAACTGGACCAGACTTGTAGTTCTTCTGGTTCAGTTGCTTCTCTCTGACAGTGGTCAGGACCAGATACTTCAGAGGAAGGTATAAGAAATCTCATACTGGACAATTCTGGGATGACCTGAGGGGAGGTTTCTTCCTTAATCCCCTTCAGTTAGAGGTTATTTCATGGCCTGAGACTTGAGGGGTTTTATCCCTTATCATTTTTCTTATCCTATCTAGTGTAGCTGTAGATGTTCTCATTATCAATATAAATGTTCAGTCTCTTTCCAAAACTGTACTAAGCCCTTGGCCTCAATGATATTTTGTGGCAATTATTGCACTGTGTAAAAAAAATTTCCTTTTTATCAGTTTTAAATTTATTGTCTTTCATTTTCAGTGAATGTCCCCTTGTTCTTCTCTTCTGAGAAAGCATATGAGTGACTGTTATCCTCTGTATACCATTTATTACTCTGTACGTCTTTACTATGTCACCTCTTATTAGTCTCCACTCTGAATTGAAGAATCCTAATCTTTTCAATCTCTCCACACATGAAAGTCTTTCCAGATCTCTCATCCTTTTCATTGCCCAGCTCTGCACCCCCTGCTAAATCTGTCTGAGTGGATATGGTTCTTGTTCCTGATTCAAAGGGGAAAAGGTCCTTTATATGTGTGAAAATGAAGCTGTATGTTTGGCACAGTAGTTTATTTTAAAAATCATGAGTCGTATACAGTTTTTTTAAAAACTTACTTTCACTGGCCTCTTTAAAGTAGGCCAGCATAGAGCTGGACAAAATGTCTTCACTGAGTTTGCTGGCAAACCAACAGCAAATAGAAATTTCAAGTAAGGCAGTGACGTGGGATCAAGTCCTTATTACGAGGAGTCATGTTTCGCTATTCCTGTTAATCTAATTTTCCTATGGTACACTTTGTCTCTAGTTCATATTAAATGAGAGATCGGATGAAGGCATTACAGGGAAATAGTGATTTCAGAGGGCTGAACATAGATCTAATGTAAAGAGTTTCTCTGGCAATCGCGAACTCTGATCCTGGCTTTTTTTCCATTCTCTTAGCTTTCTTTGAATCACACTCTATCCTCCTTCCCCCTTTCATCTTCTAAGGACCAAATTATAGTTATAGGTAGTTTCTCTTGTTCCAGAGGCTTGTGAATTACACAGCAAGTGTCATCACAAAATCTTGGTTTCCTTTTCCTAGTTGCAGGGCAGAAAACTTGTTTTCTGGTGCCCATTCTTTTTTCCTATGTACCTGAAGTAATTGAAAGCTTACATAACTTCTCTTTATATCATCTTCTAAGTTTGTCTGATCCCTTCGGATATGATGTCTACATTTTATTTAATTTTAGCTTTTTGATATTTTCACCTTCTCTAAATCTGAGTCACAGTCAGTCAGTCTGCTGACTGTAGCTACGCCATCCAAAAATCACAGACTGTGCTCTGAATTCTTTTGTTTATTTACTTACTGGGTGGGATTGGTGGGGGGGGGGAGAGGAGGAGACTGGATCTCATCAGTCAGTCATCCCGACTCCTTTTGTGCTTAAGTTTATTAAAAGAATACTCAAAAGCATTCTGTCTTGGTTTTGGGGAAAAGGTATAAATCTGTTTGCCTGCATTCCATCAGCTCATGCCTATCTGAATAAGATCCTGTGCAATACAATACTTTACAATCATGCCTGTTGGCACCATAAATGTTGGTGTTCCACAGGCTCACGGGAGTTAAAACAACGAATAATGTTAAACTGAGACGTTAAAGTAATCATGTCTCTAAGAAATATCACCTACCGATGAATATCAATACTCCAAGAAGAATACCAACTGCCATGCCTACGCTTGGCATCCCAGGATGGTTTTCTACTTCTATAAAACATCTCCCCTCATTGGAACACCTGCAAATGTTTACTGCAGTCAAAGAGAAATGTCATAAGATTAGTGGAATCGTTTATCAGCCGTATAGAACTGTCCATGAATATTGCCATTCTCTGTAAATCAGTAACATAAATGCTGTGTGTGTAACGTACCTTGAAGATTCAGGTTTCCTTCCAAAGGTGGTTTTCCGTTGTCGTTAATTATTAACGGAATGCTATACTGTTTCTCCTCTAGATTAGTGTGCTTTGGGGAAAGGTAAGCATGGGTGCCTGTTAACATGAAACAGGAGATACACATCAGGACAATAAGGAACTGTAAAACGTGCTCAGTTTCACTAAACACCACCTCCACCTGCAGATGCCCTACTGCCCAGGTCTTTTTTTTTTTTTTTAAGATCTAGTGGTTCCCCAATCCATTCAAGCTGCTGTAAAGGAGCTCCAGGGCAGATGCAAGGGCCCCTGGGGAATAACTCCAGGTGCAGACAGCCTTTGTGTCTGGCACTTAGCTGCCTCCATCAGCTCTATGCCACCTCTGCAGGGACCCCAGGCACAGGGGATATTCTAGGACAGGCCAGGGGTGGGGCAGAGGTGGATGTATGAGAAGGAATCAGAAGCTCAGGGAGTTCTTACATGTGGTCTATCCTGCCCCCTGCAAAACCACATAGGGACCTTTATGATCATCTCCTGCAATATACAGGCCATAGAATCTCATCCAGTGCCTTCTGCATCTTAACTTCTATAATATACCACCTCTTATATTCAGAAGGAATTCCACACTCATGCAACCATTTCAGAATATCTAAACCAGCTGGGTAGGCCATCCTCGTTTTACACCCCATGATAACCTAACATGGCAGGCTTTCCTAAAAAGTGCCCCCAAGGTCACCTAGCAGGACAAGCCACCCCTTTGATGCATGCAAACTAAGCCAGTGTAGTGGGGAAGCCTTCACCAAACATTCTAGCTACAATACATACCATAAATCTATAGTCAGATTTTGCACATTGCCACATCCAACATCAAAATATGACCCTTAAAAATGCAATGTCCTGGGAAAAGTCTCTAATGCACAGTTTACTCTAGCTGCTCTGTTTCTTTATCAAAAATGGTTTTATACTGTTTATATTGAAGTAGACTCTCAGAGCACTTTGAGTCACATGTGTTTCTTCTCTCTTCTTGTCAGAAAAATCCCAGTTTGCTAGCACACTAAATAAAAGTGTCATCTCTTACAGACAATGGGTTTTGTCAATGTAAAATAAAGCCAAATACAACAATCTAAAGTGTTGCAATAATCATGTACTCAAATATGTATTATTTTCTCAACACACCTAAATATTTCAATGTACGGAATATAACACACAAAGGTCAGAATGAAACAGGAATCCAACCATTTCTTAAATATACACAATAAATACATGCACATGCTACATTTTCCATATGATTGAAAAACTTACCATTTATTCTAGAAATTTCCCAGTCACTCTTTATATTTTCACCACTCCCGAGAGAAAAAGTGAATTCTGGAGAATACAGTTGTTCATCATCATCGGTGGCCTGGATCTCTGCTCTTACTCCTCCACGGAGCGGATGGCAGAAGAATAGATGATTACCCTTTGCTAACCGGGGAGGATTATCGTTCACATCTTTTATGTATAGCATGAAGACTGCTGTGGAGCTTTGAGATTTTTTATCTATAGAATTTAAAACAGTGCAAAATTATACTTCAGGTCATAGACTTCAAATTCACGGTCGCCTGAGGCTGGCTTGTTGATTTTGCAGCCACAGTGGCCTTAAAGAGAGTGGGTATGGTGGTGCAACATGAGAGAGGCAGGTGTCGGAGCTACTCTGTCTGTAGAATACAGAGGAAGTCTCTGGAGCCAGAAGTGGTAGCTAGTGTCACTTTTAAAAAAGTGTGGGGGGCTGGGGGGGGGTTAACACACACCCCTACACATTTTTAAACGTGGCACTAGCTGCCACTTCTGACTGACTAATGCTGGCTTCTGAGTGCTAACTGGTGAAAGAGGAGATATATTAAGCCACCATATCCAGCAAGCCCTCTTTGGAGCAGGGAACTCCAGCCTTTTATGTTAAGCGAACACAAGCCCCAGCTTTTTGGCTATTCCCTGCGTGAGCAGGCAAAAGGCAGGATATGGTTGCCTGAGCTGTCTCCCTTTCTTTGCACATCCCTGCAACAGCAGCCCCAATCTAGTTCTTCATCTAAGACCTTCTCTTTCCCCAGTAATGTCAACTATTCTTTTGATAAGTCAAAAACAATGGACAGTATTACAATTTAAGTAATTGCTGTTGTGTTCTAGTTAATTAGGGAAACCTGGGTTTATGCCTTAAAAGACAGATTTCAACCCAAATACATCCCAGTCTTGTTAGCCATCCATGCAGTGTAGCTGGCAAAATGAAATCCCCTGCCGATAAACAAAAGAAGTACTATTTTTCAGTTCACATCACACAAGCACTGTAGTGCAATCTCTTTATCGTGAAAGTGAAATTTACAAATGTAGAATTATTACTTTTCCACATAACTGCACTCAAAAACAAAACAAAGTAAAACTTTAGCGTCTACAAGTCCACTGAGTCCTACTTCTTGTTCAACCAATTGCTAAGACAGATACGTTTGTTTACATTTATGGGAGATAGAACTGCCTGTTTCTTATTTACAATGTCATCTGAAAGTCAAAACAGGCATTCGCATAGCACTGTTGTAGTCGGTGTTGCAAGGTGTTTACTTGACAGATATGCTAAACATTCATATACCCTCAAATGCTTCAACTTGTATCTTGCACTGTCTTGTTTTTATCTTTTTTACAGTGCAAATGTTTGTAATCAAAATAGTAATATAAAGTGAGTACTTAACACTTTGTATTCTGTGTTGTAATTGAAATCAATATATTTGAAAATGTAGAAAAACAACCAAAATATTTGTAATAAATTGAAATTGGTATTCTATTGTAGTTTAACAGTGTGATTAAAACTGGAATTAATTGCAATTTTTTAATCTCACGATTAATTGAGATTATTTTTAAATCATTTGACAGCCCTAATCCATATTATCAATAATTTGAAGTTTCATTTTACAGAAAGTAATTCCTAAACGAATATATCCTCCCAAGCATAAACAGCAAGATGCATCAAAAATAATTTGACAATGCAACTTCTATAGTTGTATCAGACAAAGTCAAGGTCTTGCTGTTAGCTGTGCATGTAGCCTTGGAAAACATACATGGTGCTTTCATTGCTTACTTTCTTCTGTTGCAGTGATTTCTACTTTGTATTCATGTTCTACTTCTCGATCCAAAGGAGCAGCAGTATATATCTCTCCAGAAAATGTATCAATCCGCAGCCAGTTTCTGTTGTTGCTTTTCAACGTGTATCTTCACAAAGCATAAATATATATGTGTATATATATTCTGTACCAAGCCATAATAATTTTTATAAAGCAAATGTCTCTTCATTGGTTAAACATTAAATTATCTGTACTGATTTAAAAACTATCGGTAAATAGCTTGATTAGTAGAGTATCTAAAGGCCAAGGATAGAATTCCTTGGGGAAAGTTGATCGTCCTTCCACCAAAAAAGAGAGAGACAACTCAACAGATGCCCTGGGGTCTGCCCTTCAGTTAGGGTTAAAGGCAAGTGAAAAAAATATGAGAATAAATGCTCAGGGAGGTCCTACTACCACAATCTAAAAGCTGTGCCCTGTGTAAAATGCAGTTATAATAGCTGTATAATTGTGATTTTTTTAACGTTCCCAAATAATTAATTTAAAATGACTCTAGATCCTTAATTTACAAAGAATCTTTAAAATGTGACATGAGTATAAATTCAGTTTAAATGACAAAGAGTCCTGTGGCACCTTATAGACTAACAGACGATTAGTCTGTTAGTCTATAAGGTACCACAGGACTCTTTGTCGCTTTTTACAGATCCAGACTAACACGGCTACCCCTCTGATACTTGATCAGTTTAAACAGAGTATAAACAGTGTTGTTTGACAATTGACTGAGTATGCAGACAGCTAGCTCAGAGATATGTGTGAACTGCTCCTATTAATCTCAATAGGATTTTAATTCTGAAGACAAATGATGATTTAAATATCAATATTTAATTCTTTCACTACTGATTAAGTTAGCAAAAACATCTAGTTAATGTGCTTATATATCACTTTTGGACGTAGTGGCAGATACTGGAGTAAGATGAAGTAGGGTAGCTGGTTGTTGACTGGGTTGTTAGGGAAGGGAATAAGGAAATCTCATAACATGCAGACAGGATCAATAAAGCTTAGAGTTATGTAACTCACTGTTGAATATCATGGCCTTGGTTTAAGGATCTACCACTTACCGGGGACACTCACAACATCAGTTCCAGGGACAATGACCCCATGACAAACAGCCACAGTGAAGCCATCTGAACGCATTCCATGACACTTGCACCATTTAGAAGACAAGCAAGTAAAGAGGCCTTAACCTTAATGGTCAGCAACAGGGAGTATACTGCCTTTTAGTATAGGATAAAGACAAAAATAATGTTTGTACCTGTATACTCTACCAGGGGGAGGAGAGAGGATTTGTATGAGGCACAGTGATAGAAGAAAGTGTAGATAAACTAGACAAGGTGTGTGAGGTAATATCTATTATTGGACCAACTTCTGCTGGTGAGAGAGACAAGCTTTCGAGCTTACACAAAGCTCTTCTTCAGATCTGAGAGACCTTCTAAGATCTCTGTGTAAGCTTAAAAGCTTGTCTTTCCCACCCACAGAAGTTGGTCCAATAGAAGATATTGCCTCCCCCACCTTATCTCTCTAGTATGCTGGAACTGACAAGGCTACAACACTACCGTCTGTGGTGAGACATGTATTACAGTCACAGGTTGTGATCATCATGCTTCAGTGTCATAGAATATCAGGGTTGGAAGGGACCTCAGGAGGTCATCTAGTCCAACCCACTGCTCAAATCAGGACCAATCCCCTGACAGATTTTTGTCCCAGATCCCTAAATGGCCTCCTCAAGGATTGAACTCACAACCCTGGGTTTAGCAGGCCAATGCTCAAACTACTGAGCTATTATAAATGATTGTTGGTGCATGGCAGAGAGCCACAAGTTGTTGCCCTGAGTGTTTCCCCTTCACGCTAATTTATCAGGGGCAGAGAGATTGTCAGTCCATCTTTAAATGCTGTCCTCTAGGTGTCACCACTGGCATTCTCACTGAGACAAACCATGTTTATGGAATCAGTGTAAAATATAGATCATTCATATGTCTGGTGCTGGGGAGACCTGAGGTCAGATTTATCCTTCATGTAACTCCATTAGCTTGCTTGGTGTTTTCCTCAAAACTAGTTAACATTGTTTTTTATTTTTCCACAAAGCCCTCAGTATGAATTGTACAGGAGTAGTGGCAGAGCATTTTTTGCATCCTAAACAGAGGCTTAGACTCTGAGAATTGAACTAAAGAAGACTGATTTGAAAAAAAAATCTAATGTATTATTGAAGACCTGCTTTAGATGTGTTAAACTCTTTGTTTAGTTTGTAGGTGTGTTCTGCTGCATAAAAAGCACTAACACGTGCCTTACTGAAATGAAAAAAAATCATTGTCCTCTTGCTTATTCTTAGTCTCCATCTAGGAATATTTTATACACAACTCATTCATTATTAAACCTACTTGAAACCACAAATCCAGGCAAAAGGGATTGTTTTCAAGTCAACAGTGCCTTTCTTTGGAGATTTACTTTGGCCTATTTTTCATTATTAATCTCATAAACCATGAGCTCCATTGGAATTATTCTTGCTATAATACAGGTACATACAAAAGGCTCTACCCTGGAGTTTGCTGCAGAGAAGACCATGTACTGCAACAGGAACACACCCAACTGTTTTGTATTATGTTCCACAATCAAATGTAAACTATACATACATTGAAAAAATTGTTGCATTTCCTTGTATTCTATGTTTGGATGTGTCCTCTTCCTAGCACAGATGTTCTATTGCTCTCAACCACAGCATTTCAATCTAGATGCTCACTGGTTTAGGACTAGACTGACATCTGATGTGACAATCCCAGTCAATGCTAAAAACTAAATAGAAGGCAGGGTTTTTTTGTTTGGTTGTGGGGATTTTTGTTTTTTGTTTTACCTTATCTGGTCCCCCTCAGGATCATTGGCCATCACTGTCATCACCAAAGTACCTACAGGAACATCTTCAAATATATGTACTATATAAATGTTCTTAGAGAAAACTGGCACTTCATTCACATCCACCACAACAACTCCAAAATAGGCAGTGGAGCTTGAATTATACTGTACTCCTCGCACCAAAGGTTCTGGATTTGTGGCCTTGACTGTCAGGTTGTATGTTGAAGACATTTCAAAATCAAGAACCTGGGGAAATGGGGAGAGATTGCAATAAACAATCATTTCACTGTTCTCTTCAATAAGATAAATGGTTGAGGAATCTCTCGTGTATGCCTATAATCTCCAGCTCATTTGAAGATTTCCATCCCTGGGGGAATTGGAAGCACGAGGGTGGGTATTCTCAATGCTGAAGATAAACTAAGAAGTTAAAAGTAAGGCTTTCAGGCAATCTATTGATTCTCCCCTAATGTGAAGCCAACAGACACAATGGTACCATCTCCCCTGCTTTGGAGACAGAGTATATCTTAGGTAATGAAGAGATAGGGCAAAGTCATCATGTAGGAGGACAACAGCATAGCACTAGAAAGAATTATTTCAAAACAAATAGATCTTGGGAGTGTCCCTCAACAAGTAACATTTCCAATTAATTTCCAATTCCATTTATAGCAATAATATTTATTGTTACATACAAGAAGACTCTGGCTCATGATTGGTTGAAAACAGTTATGCAATTAGTTAATATGTTTCTAATGGTTACATCCTTGGAAAGCAATAATACTGAGGTCTAGAACAATGTTAATCAAGAAAACTGATCATGTGAATGACTACACCCAAAATGGCTGCAGGTGAGGTAATGAAAACTATATTTTACCCATTAGATGATGAATAATTATTTGTTTGTTTTTGGATCTCTCTAACTTCAACTGCCTTTGAGAAGGTTAATTTCAAAGGAAAAGCACCTCTGGTTTTTAAACTTATGGTCATAATACAGAGTTTTCCTGGTATTTCTAACTATATATTCGCTGACTTCTTGTTTCAGTGAGCATCATGATTTGTTATCTATCAAGGTAAATATTGACTTTGGCTTTGTCTCAGTCAGTGTTCACTTTAACAGAAACAAACTCTACATTTGTCCTGCTCCTGAGACATGCTGAGCACCTGCAACTCCCATTGTAAAAGTCAGTATGGGTTGGAAATGCTCACCAGCTCTAAGATTCCATCCCAGAACAGATATCTTTTACTTCGTATGGTATTACAAACAAATATCTGTGAAATATCAGAGGGGCAGCCATGTTAGTCTGAATCTGTATTCTGCATTCACCCACAAAAGCTTATGCTCCAATACTTCTGTTAGTCTTAAAGGTGCCACGGGACCCTCTGTTGCTTTTTACAAATATCTGTGAGACACTATAATGTTTACTTGGCTTAGTTTTCCAGTGACCTTACCATGATATTGCACAACATGTAATACAGTGTTTGCGTGAAGAACAAAGATCTACAATACAACATACCATCATCATATCTTGTGATATATTCTAAAGAAACAAAAGAGTTGCAATAAGGGACACTGTATGTTCAGTGTGTCAACATAACCCCACTGACATCAAAGCAAGTTCCACATAAGGAACAAGCGACCCTTGTAGGAATATTTTAATTTATTGACTAGAATGAGTAATTTATTTCATTCAGATGTTCTAGTAAAGATTAAAATATAATTTTGAGTCTGTATGGAGTTTGCCTCAATTGAAGAGACATGGGTAACAGGTACAACATTTGGTTTACCAGTGATAAAAGGCATTCATATTTTGAAGGGCAAAGAAAACGTCTCTTTGTGGATAACTTGTCTGGAAATCAAAACCCTTTGCTGTGTAGCGCTCTACAAACTATTACCAGCTTTGTTACACTGTATGTGGCATAGGGCTGGGATACACTTAACAGTTAAAACACACTTTCTGCTATGGTACAGCCATTTTGTAAAGAGTTCTAGATATTTTTCTGGTTTCAGTTACCAATTTTTGTAATATGTTGGGCTTCCTCCTCATTTTTTTCATTTTTCTTAGGATGCAGGTAGTTTAATTATTGCTACTGTACTGGCCACTTCCTTCCAGTTCAATATTCAAAGCTTTAGCTACCGCTTTACAGTGAGGAACCAATGAGACACACATTTTAAGCTGTGTTTTCTGGAGATCCATAATCCATCAGCAAGCAGTTAAAAAAAAAGATTACTGGATGTTGTTTAAGAACAAAAAATAAGGCTTAAAGAAAAAATGTACTTTTACTGCTGTAATTTAGGAATTAAAGAGATCCACTTACCTTGTTAATCTTTACAAATCCCCTATTTGTTTTGGTGTCTGTCTCTATAATGAAGTTTTTATTTTGATCTCCCTCTTCAATTTGGTAAATGATTTGAGAGCTCCCAGTGAATGGTTCATCAGCATCTGTAGCTTGAATTTCTAGTATTACTTCTCCTACTGGAGTATCTTCAAGAATAATCCAATTACCATACTAAAGAGAAAAGAAAATTGAAACATGAGACATCAGGAACCATTCAAGGAAATGGTCTTCAGTGCTACAACTTAGTGATGCACAATCATTAATGAGTTCGACCACACAAGGAAGTAGAGAAATATTTTCTCTATTTACAGATGAGGCATAAAGAGATTGAGGCTCAGATCCTCAAAGGTATTTCAATACCTAACTCCCATTGAAATCAATGAGAGTTAGGTGCCTAAATGTCTTTGCAGATCTGGCCCAAGGTCACACAGAAAAATTGTGGCAGACCCAGGAATTCCACCCAGTGTCCTGAGTCCCAGTCCACTTCCAAAAAGACCATCCATCCTTCTAACTTAGGTAAACGTCCAAATGATAAACTCAAAAAGCTGAGTTATGTCAATCAACTGGCTTGAGTGCCCCATTCAATTGGCAAGGATGGGTAGTGGTTGCTATACCAGCCTAAAGTAGGTACTTTCTATTCAGTTAACCATCAGGGATTTCACCTTCAATCATTCTTTAATTAAAAGTGCCTATTTGAAGTTTCTAGGCCCTTGTACAAACCTTACACAAAAGATACATTGGACATATGTCAACAATAAACCTCCCGAACTGCCAACATGCTCCTTAAAGATTTTTTTCCTTAACAGTTGAATTCATTTACAAAAATAAGTAATACTTCTCATGCAAGCAGTGGTTAGATTGATTTTTTTAATTTATAAATGTTTTTATCTTTTAAATAGATCATAATTATAACTATGTATTTGTATGGTTCATATTGCTATTATTATTTCAGGAAAGAAATTGCAGAATATTATTTAATTGAAATCAAATATCTGTAAAATTAAGTCAAGGAGCTACAAAGGTGTAATTGATGGCATAATCTGGCCTTTGACATGTTTCCTCCAACTATTTAATCTGCCCCAAATAGCTTGTTACGATTTTTTTTCAATAGTTCTTTTATTAAAAGCCTTACATCCTTGTAGTCTAGAAACTGAAGGGATGCTGCCAGATTAAAATTGATATATTTACATACAATTATTTCTGTATTACTAGAAATATTTTAGTTTATTAGAACTGAGCAAACTTTCTAAATCTAATCCATTCTTCACCATTCATGCTCTTTGTCTTTTGCGCTTTCCCTTTACAGAAAGAAAATAGACTGGTCAGTTTCACTTGTGATTACAGTTAATTTCACTTTCTGGTGCATATGCACTAGCACTGTTTTTGCAATGGTATTAGGGGGAAATCTTAAATCAAATAAATTTTTTACATTAAGCCATTTTAATCCATTTCATTTCCACTCCCCTTCCCCCCTTTATAAAACCTAAATTTCAGGCCTGATTTCCCAATATTGTCCCTTTAAATGAGCAGTATACATTTTAACTTATTTTCATACTTTAGAATGAACTATCAGATTTGTGTATGTAAATCTGTTTACCGCAGCTATTTAGATCTCATAGACAGGCCTTGCTGCAGAGGCATAATGTTATCTCTACTGCTCACTAGCAGCCTTAACCAATGACCATTGTAGTTAATGGAAAAACTCCCATTGACTTCAGCAGGCATTGGATCAGGCCATAGCTTTAGTAAAAGTTTGTCTTGTAACATCAGAAACAATATTGTGAGGAATACTCACGTCTGATTTTTCAAAGATGGGAATCTGATCATTGATGTCAATGACGTTTATTTTCACATCACACAATGTTGTGAACACTGTATAAAACAGAATAAAGCATGTCACAAGCAACATTTCTGCAGAAAACCTGGGTTGTTTTTTTTCAAGTGTCCACAATGCGATAGGCATTGTACAAGCATACAACATGGCAAAACAACAACGTAGCAATCAAAGCAAAATCCTACTGCTGTGAGAAAGACTGGCCACAAGATATTGGGAGTCACAATTAGTTTATACTTTGACGGGGATTCCCTCAGTCTCTCCTTGCCTCTTCCTAGTTCTCTCAATATTTCCTCCATCCTTACTCTTATTCCTTTTTCCAAATTTACTTTCGCCCCACCGTTGATCAGGAGCAGGAAGATAATGAATCTTCTGTGTTCTTCATCACATGGAGATTGCAAGGAGACTCCTCCCTCCCCCATCCAGAGATATCAGTCTTTTTTTCCCCTATGTGGGTCATCAGAGAACATTGTGATCTTTGCTTATAGCTGGGCCTAAACTAGACATAATTAACAGAATGCCAATCAGTGAACTCAGACAGCAGCAGACCTCACAACCTTGTTTTAAATCCAGGAATGTGCCACAAATGGGGGAGAGCCCTTAGTTGGTTTTATGGGTCCAAAAAGCCTGCTCTGGTTGACTGTAAATTGTTCAGACATAGTCAGAGCCCAGTATTTTCATCATAAACCAGGAGTCAGTGAGTATCCTAAACAAAATAGTTTAGATATAATTCTAAATGAGCTTCCAAAGCCAACTACCTTTTGAAGTTCTATCGTTTGTTTAAACCGTGCTGCTTCATTAATGTAAGAGAAATGTAATCCTGCTTGCTCTATGTGCTTCTATCTCCTATGGAGGTCAATGTAAATTTTGTAAGTTTTGCTTGGCTAAGAACTTCAGGATGAAGCCCTTAATCTTTAATGGGAAAATGTACGTACTTTCTATTCCGTTAACCATCAGGGGTTTCTGAGCTCTTGGATAATGAGTCTTGCAAAACCTTTTTGAAGATGAACTTTTGTTCTGAATATTTGTATAAACCATCTGGACTCTCTGGCCAGCTGCACTGAACTCACTGAAGTTTCTTCAGTGAGACATTAATGCTTTCCAATAAAACCAGTGGAAACATCACAAATCATGCAATCCCTTCAGAGATTCCCATGCAGTAGAAAACCTCTTACTGGAGAATTCTAGTGAACCCTCTGCCCTAGTGCTTGCTGAATTTAATTATCACATTATGAGTCATTTCTCTGTGCATCTTTAAAACAATTAAATAAAATTCAGTAAGAAGAGCAGCCCTCAATACTGCTGCTTCCTGTAATGCCCTGTCTGGGAATCGCTTAACATGAACGTCGTGGATACTGATCACTGAAACAGGAAAGCTGACGAATGAAATTATTTCAGTGTGTGATGGGCTGTTTGTACTGACCTTTATCTGTCACCTCCACCCTTACAAAATAATTCGAAACTACCCTCTTGTTTAATGAAGAGCTAGATAGCTGGAAAGTCCCAGCTTCTTGCTGGATAATAAAGAGGTTATCTAAAGGGATTTTGGGGTTCTGGTCCACAATACGGAACTGCAGGCGAGAATTAAGAGTGTTTTCTTTATCCATGTCTGTAGCATGCAGAGTTCCAATATTGCTCCCTAGGGTCAAGGAAAGAATGAAGTCAGTTAGATAACACATCTATCAATATATCCTACTTTCCCATTGAATCAAATACTATACACAATGCTGCTAGTAGGAATATAACAGATACCATAAAAATGCCAATTGCCTGGAAAATACTGTTTGCAGTGTTGCTGTAGCCGTGTAGTCAGGATATTACAGAGACAAGGTGGGCGAGTATGGCGGGCTTCATTCACCACAAGGGGCCCCTCCTTGTGACGCCTCCTTGTGGATTATCTCCACTCAGGTCTGATGCCCCCTTCCTTGCACCATTTCCCCTCTCTCTCCGGGCTCGGGGTACTACTTCTTTGTGAATCAGCCCCTCCAGCGAAGTCACTCTACTCCTCCCCTTCTGAGGTAACAAAGTCTCTCCAGACCAGCTTGTGCAGTTGGCATCTCCTCCACTCCTGTGTCATTTCCCAGTGGCTGGTAGGAGAACCCAGACCTGCCCTCTACACCAGGTTCCATCCTAGGGACCCTACAACAAACAGCCCAGGTCTGCATAGTCCTACCCCTTGCTGCTGTTTCCCTGGGCTTCTTCTTAATTAGCCCTCACAGGCTTCCTTTCCCCACAACTCCTCTGGGATTTACCCTTCTGTTAGGGATGGAAACCCAGGGCTTATTCTTCCTCCTGGGTTTTCACCTCTCTTCCTCTCTGCTCCCAGGGATTGACTGCAGGCCCTCTCCCTGCAGCCTCCTTCTGCTGCAAACTTTCTGGTTTTATAATCCAGCCTATTCCAGCCCAGCTGGGTTTCTTGTTCAGTTAGGCCTGGCTGTCCCTCCAGATGCAGCCAGGTACCCTGGCCCCTCAGGTCCACGTTAAACCTTTCCAGGCATATGTGGAGTAGGCACCCCATCACAGTGAGGTAATAGCTTTTATTGGACCAATTTCTGTTGGTGAAAGAGAGAAGCTTTCAAGCTACTCAGAGCTCCTCTTCAGATCTTGAAAAGGTACTCAGAGTGTCACAGGTAAATACAAGGTGGACAGATTGTTCCATAACCCTGCAATAACAACAGTTGCAAAACCTGCAGACATATCTCCAGTGCTACGGTGATCTGTATCCCCCACAACACACATTTTAAGATGCATGAGTCCCACATGAACCTATCACGGCATATGGTGTACCTCATATAGTGCACTAAATACCCCAATTACAACTATGTGGGTAAAACCAGACACTTGCTACATTCTCAGATGAATTCACACAGAAAAATGATAAAAGACAAAAATACCATATCACCCATGGGCAAACACTTTTCACAAAACAAACACTCATCTGACCTCTCAGTCCTCATCCTCAAAGGAAATCTGCACAACACTTTCAAAAGATGAAGCTGGGAACTTAAATTCATAACTTGCTAGACACTAAAAATCATGGTCTTAATAAAGATATTGGATTTTCTAGTTTATTACAACAATCTGTAATCCACACACCCCCTTTTTTGTCCTATGACTGCAGAGGTGTTAAGTGGCTACTTCACCTTGAATGGTCTCTTACAGTGTGTGTTAACCACCTACACTAAACAATCTGTTCCACCTTGTATTGAGCTGTGACCCTCTGAGTACCTTCCCCAGACCTGAAGAAGAGCTCTGTCTAGTTCAAAAGCCTGTGTCCTTCACCAACAGAAGTTGGTTCAATAAAAGATATTACCTGACTCGCCTTTTCTCTGGAAAATACTGTAAAGAAACACAGTAGCTTTATATTAAAGCTATGTATCAACATAGCTCAATCAACAGTTATGGGATTGATGCAGGAATTACTGGGTGCAATTCTATGGCCTGTGTTGTGCAAGAGGTCAGAGCAGATTATCATAATGGGATGTTCTTGCCTTAAAACCTCTGAACAAGTAATGTAGAGACTTAGGGGCAGATTTCACTAACGTTGGTGTAAATCAGAAATAACTCTATTGAAATTAATGTAGTTACACCAATGTAGCATCCATATAAGGGACAGGAGAATCAAAGCACTTATCCAGTGAGAGCAAACCATACTTTTTATCTTAAAAAAGGAAAGCAAATTCTATTGTACATTTTAGCATTGTGATTGTAGGAGAGCACAATATTGTATTTTAAATGACATTTCTGTTTTACGCATTGAGGATTTGATTTTGCAACTCTCACTCACCATGACTAGCTTAGTTGCACAAACAATCCAACTGTAGTCAGTGGGACAATTTGCATGAATAAGCACTATTCAAAGTGAATAAATGTGACAGAATTGGGCCCTGAAACTGTTAATTCTAGTTTCATCAAATGGAAACAATGTTCAGACAGTGAGAATGATTTATATCATAGTTACTTTCATGATGTCTTACCTAATCCTTCATTCTCCTGAACTTCAAATATAGTCAAAGCATTCTGGCACACAGGAGGATTATCATTAATGTCTTCAACCTGAACGAAGATTGGCAAAGGCCGGTCCAGTTCCTCTCCTCCTTTATCTTTTGCAGTTGCAAAGAATGAATACTACAATGATAATATTGCAATTAGGAATAATAAATGCAAGAACTATAATAGCTTCCATTTAAAGGGATTGCAATGAAAACCTTGCTACCAAATGAAAGCTCTTTCTGTATGTCTTAATAACATTTTCATCTATTTTAATAATAGTTACTTATAGGCTCTTATATGGTACCTATTACCATGTTATCTGAATGCCTCACAATTCATCAATGCATTTATTCTCCCAACACCCAGGAGAGGCAGGAAAACATTGTTCTCTCCATTTCACTGATGAGTAACTCAGATACAGACAGGTGAAGTGCACAAGACGTCTGTGCGAGAGCTGAAACAGAATCTATGGGTGACATCCTAGCATCAATGAAGTCAATGGCAAAACTCCCATTGATTTCAATGGGTTGGGATTTCACCCTATACAACTCTACCTCAATATAACGCTCTCCTCGGTAGCCAAAAAATCTTACCGCGTTATAGGTGAAACCGCGTTATATCTAACTTGCTTTGATCCATGAGAGTGCGCAGCCCCGCCCCCCTGGAGCAAACAATTTTCACAAAACTCCTTTACCGCATTATATCCGAATTCGTGTTTTATCGGGTCGCGTTATATCGGGGTAGAGGTGTATCTCCATCTAGTCCCAGGCCAGTGTCAGTTACAACCACAAGACTATCGTTCCTCTCTGTGGCCACAATTTAGTAAGGAATTTAAGAATGTGCCTAACTTTAAGCATATGATTAGTCGCATAAAAGTGTTTAAAGTTAGGCACCTGCTTATGTTCTTTGCAGAATTAGGGCCTATAACTGTATTCTCTCCTGGAAATACTTATTCTACCTTCAGTGAGAAGTAGGCAAATGATCACGGTTTTATTCATTAAGTCTCTTTTTCATGCCCCTCTTGATGATGCATTGCTGTGAGGTCAGCAAATTCCCAGGCAAATGCTGACTGTACAGTTAGAGAAAACAAACTGAGAAATGCTATGGAAGGTACCATTTTTAAAGTTAAACACAAAACACAAAATGGTGAGGGAGATCAAATCCCTTTAGATATGCAGACTGGTCACTATGTAGTATTTTAGCAATTCTTTCAACACCACAAGAAGGGAGATTTATAGCCTGAAAGCTTATAAATTATACAATGTATTTATTGCCCCATAAAAAGCATGGCAATATTTTCCTTGTCCAGCAATTCTTTTTCATAAAGAGAATATGTTTAATACCAAAATAGACTCACTTTAATTCAATGATGAACCCTAATGTCAGCATCGCAGACTATTCCTGGGGCTAAGTTAAAATGCAGCTCTTCAATTTTGTATTTATTCAAGATGACTGGCTAGATCCTGTCATCATGGGTATGTCTACACTGCCATTAAAAACCCATGGCAGGCCTGTACCAGCTGACTCGGGCTCACGAGACTCAGGCTAAGGGGCCGTTTAATTGCAGCGTAGACGCTCGGGCTGGAGCTTGGGTTCAAGGACCCTGTGAGGTGGGAGGGTCCCAGAGCTCAGGCTGCAGCCCAAGCCCAACCATCTACACTGCAATTAAACATCCCTTAGCCCGAGTCAACAGGCACAGGCCAGCCATGGGTTTTTAACTGCAGTGTAGACATGTCTTCAGTTCCAGTCACAGGCACCAACTTTCCACTTTCCCCGCTCCACCCTGAGGCCCCACCCCCACTCGGCCCCTTCCCCCAAAACCCACTCTCACTCCACCTCTTCCAGCCCCAGCTCCTCCCCCTCCCTTCCAGCACCTCCCACCCGCCACTGAACAACTGATTGGCGGTGAGTAGGAGGCGCTGCGAGGGACGGGGAGGAGCTGATCAGCAGGGCCCACCAAACAGCTGATCGGCAGGTGGCTGGTGGGTGCTCTATTTTTTTCCAGGGGTATTCCAGCCCTGAAGCACCCCCGGAGTCGGCGCCTATGGTTCCAGTCCACCAGCACAAAACAGTCATAAGGCTGGTGCATACAGCTGTCTCATGATTCCCCCAGCATGGGGGAAACCCCAGGTGGTGTCAGGCCAGCATAGCAGCTCCTGTGCCCAACCCCCTTTCCCACTCTCCCCTCTAGCGTAGGACCTATGGGCCGAGACAAGGGAGCTTAGCCAAAGGGCTGCTGCACTCTAGTGAACCCCAGCCGCTAGACAGACCTCTTAAAGCCACTGACAACTGGCACAACTTGGAGCAGCCCTGGGATTACAGTTGCTGTTCAAATTTAAAGTGTTCTTTGTATGAACACTTGCTTTTAATTAGTGAAGCACACGCATGTGTGTGCTGTTAAATCTTAGCCCTAGCTGATGTAGGCTACACAGAATATACATGACTAATTTCTTTCCTCTTTGTGGAAAGAACCTGTAGGAATGTATCTGAAGAGAGAGGGAGAGTCTGATAACATCTGTTGTTGGGTAAACTCTTCATCATCTTTACAGTAAGTTCATTTCTTTTGTTTTGCCTATTGTGAAGAGATGCCTCCCCACCCCACCTCTTGGAGAAGAAAGGCAGGAAGACTTGAGAGAGCTAAGAATTCCACCCACCAGCAAAGCCACAGTCCGCCACTCGATCAGGTATTATAACACTGTCTCTGTACATAGCACATGTTCTGTGCAATTCAGGGTAGGCTGTGAAAACTGCAATAACTACAGAACTCGTGTTGCTTTAGAAAGAAATATTATAAAGTGCTGAATTAATGGCTGTTGGGTGGATGAATGTAGTGTGGTGTGATGGGCATGCCTGCTGGTAAATTGCCTGAGAGTCCATGTCTATCAAGTCACTCAAATTCATCCAGAAACCACATCAAATTAAACATATCTATCCTCTTTCTCCTCCCTCTCCCACCACTAACTCTCCAACATTTACACGCCCAGCCACTATTGAGTCTCAGACTTTGGGCTACTGCATCAGTCAGGTTTCTCATGTTTACTTACCAATTCCTTTTCTTCCCTATCCAAGGGTTCAGTCACATAAATCGTCCCATTCTGATCAATCGTAAATGGGAACCTGGGCAGCCTCTCCTTTTGCAAAAGGTCATATTTTGCACCTGGCTCATTCCAGTGCACCTAAAATCCCCAAAATGAGTTAAGACAAAGCATTAAAAGTGTGGACTGAGATGTAACTGGTTGAAGCGCTGGGAATGAAAAGGAAAAGATAGATTTTCTGTTTTGCACATTATTTTATTTTAGGTCATAAACCTAACCATTTGGCAGGCCTTGGAACTGGGACTCCGAGGCCCAGATGATGGTCCCAGCTCTGCCACTGGTCTGCTGAATGTCTTTGGACAAGTCACTCTCTTTGCCTCAGTTTCCTTATCTGTAAAATGTGGATAATAACACTTACCTCCTTTTAAAAGCACTTTGAGATTTACAAATGAAAAGTGCTGTGTAAGAACAAGGTATATTAGTACAGTATTGTAATGGCATCATGCTAATTTACAGCATCTTTTTGTACCAGCCAACTTCTGTGTTTTTCCTCTTCAGCTTTAGTCACCTAAGCAGTTTGGTTTCACAGATGGAAATGTAGAGTGGCAAGTCAAATCTTGGGGGGGAGGGGGGGGAGGTGATACACATAAAATTGTCTGCCTGGTCTGGCACATAGTCTGACCTCCCAGGGACTTTAGGGGCTGAACCACTACTGTTTCCTCATGGAGGGGGTGAGGGTGGGTGAGCATAACCAACCCTGCAACTGAAGAAGTTGGAGAATATTCCATAAGGGGAACTTGAGAGAGTTTTCCTCCCTGCTGGGCACCCTCCCATGGTTTGTCTGTGAGAGAGGCAATCAAGCCCTATATTTGCTATTCCCGGTGGTAGTACCTAACACTACCCATATTCTTCCCAACTGTTGTATTCCCCATCTGTAAAAATCCTCCCTGCATTCTTTAAAAGACTAATTCTCTATTACATCAATGAGCTCTTGCTTTCGTAATTCATATTGTGCCAAACAGCCTTGGAATGAGTATTCTTTCTGTTCCTTTGAGTTTTCTATACATCAGCAGAATTCCTTATGCATTGCCTGCAGTTCATAGAATATACCAAGACTAGCACTTTCTGTAAGCTTGAGTGGGAAAATCCTTGTGTCACTGTAATATTGATATTGCTCTGGGCTGTACCTTAATCATCTCCCTAGCATCCATTTCATAATAAGGATATTATAGGGAAATCGACACTAACGCCCTCTTCCAGTTTATGTAAAATATGCCCAAGGGGCCAAATCTTGAAATCCATATTCCATTTTTACTCAGTCCTTCCTCAGCCTAAACTCCCATGGACTGCAATATCCAACATGGAAGATGTACCAAAGTCTTGATAACTGGAAGAAGTTCCTGCAGCTGGCAGGGAACATTTAAGGCTTGTAGATGCACTGACATTAGTCATTTCTGTGATTTCTAGATCCTACCTGCGTGATAGAGATGGGATGAGGCTCAGTAGAGTTTTCTTTGATAGATACTTTCGGAGGTGCCTTCCAAAGGTTCTCCTTCACAGTTATTTCCACGTCAGTGTTACTGGTTAAAGCGTTCTCTGACATTCCTGCCAAATCCTTCACTGTGACAACAAGGGTAAACGTAGCCTGCGTTTGGGGATTTAATAAACGAGAACCTAGAGAACAAAACAAAGAGACATGAGAGAAACTTAGCAAAAGCTCTGTTACTGGTTCATTGTTTAGCTGCAGAGAAATCCCAACCTCTGCTTTTTATGCGTCCATTGCTTTTACAACTGTTAGTCTAGGCTTCTCTTCATGAACTTAAAGATGATCCTCTGTGTTGGAACTTGGGAAACAGGCGAAAGTGGCACTCCAAGAGAGGCAATGGGTATTAACTAGTACAGGTAATGTTTTAGGATCTGATCAAACTCCCATTGAAGTCAGTGGAAGTCATTCCATTGATTTCACTTGGAGTTGAATAAGACTCTTAGCCTGCTACATTGCTTCAATTTCCTGAAAAAGTTGAGAACTACGGTTTTAAGAGATACGCTCTCAGAAAAAAAAAATTAAAAATCAAATGCAGAGTTGCATAGTTGGAAATACACCTGTTCATGACAAATTCTTAAACTAGTACTGCTTCCAGCATATTTAGATTGTAATCTCATTAAGGCATGGACCATCTCTTTGTTCTGTGTTTGTACAGCACCTAGCACAATGGGGTCCCAGACACTACCAAAATGTGCTCTCTGTTTTTAGTCTATAGACTCTTCAAATCAGGAAGTAACTGTTGTTATTATTTTGCATCACATACAGCATGGAACTCGTGGTCGGTGCTTAACATACAAACAATAACAATACTAATGGTAATTTTACATACCAGGCTCACTTGTTGAGATTGCTCCAGTTACGTTATCAATCTGAAAAAGCATCGACTTATAAGGGTTGGGGAAATGGTGGAGAATGTTGTAAAACAGCTGTGCATTGGGAGTTGTAGGATCATCACGGTCAGTGGCACGGACATACAGGAAGGGTTTGCCTGTTTGGATGTAGAAGAAAAGCCAGTAAGAGAATGGAGAAAGGGCCTTGATTCTCTAATCCATACATGTGCAGCTCAGGTGTGGGGGACAGGAGGAGACCCATAGGGATGAGCTTGCCAGCTCCCTGATTCAGGACCTCACATGCCCTGTACAAGTTAGGGTTGCACAGAGCAGCCTTAATTTACATCATTTGCATAAGTAAGGTCCTTCTGGGAACCTTGCCCCCTCTGACATGCCCCTGACATGCTGCCGCTTTCCCCTTACACGATGTGGGGACTGGCTGATGCAGGGTGTGGCAGTGCCATCTCAGCCAGCTTTCCACCTGCACAGAATTCCTTGGGAAGGGGGGATTCTCTGACAGCTCTCTTTGGTTAGTTTAAGGCCACATCGTGGTGCTTCTGCAAATAATCCATCACAGAGTGTATAGAGAACATGCAACACTGTTACTGCATTTAGAATTGTTACCATTAAAGAGGCTGCTCTACACTAGACCTGGTCGCAAGTTGGGATTTTGGTTTCATGGGAAATGTTGACATAGCAAAATTTGGTTTTGTTCCAGAACAAAAAGAAATACTTTTGAAATTTTCTGCAAAATGGCAATTCAAAAAAAAATCATTTGGGAAAAATTTCACATCACAATGAAATGTCTTTTGAAATGTATTTTTTCCATTTCTACATTTTTATTATTTGTACATTATTTAATGACATGTCAGTGGTAATAGTGCATAGTATGACATACCATAACATACCCAATTGTGTCCTAATATAACATGACATGTCTTTTTTTTTTAATTAAGGGCAGATGCTACTTAGTCCAGATTGAAACATTTTAGTTTATTTTTGATCAAAATGTCTCCTACTTGTAACAAAACATAACATAAGAACAGCCGTACTGGGCTAGACCAATGGTCCATTTAGCCCAGCATCCTGTCTTCTGACAGTGCCAGGTGCTTCACAGAGAATGAACAGAGCAGGGCAATTGTTGAGTGATCCATCCCCTGTCATCCAGTCCCAGCTCCAGAGGCTTAGGGACACCCAAAGCATGGAGTTATGTCCCTGACCATTTTGGCTAACAGCCATTGATGGACCTATCCTCCATGATGTTATCTAATTATTTTTTGAACCCACTTATACTTTGGCCTTCACAACATTCCCTAGCAACAAATTCCACAGGTTGACTGTGTGCTGTGTAAAGAAGTACTTTTTTGTTTGTTTTAACCTGCTGCCTATTAATTTCATTGGGTGACGCGTGCTTCTTGCAGTATGTTAAAGAGTAAATAACACTTCCTTATTTACTTTCTCCACACCATCCGTGATTTGATAGGCCTCTATCATATCCCCCCTTAGTCATCTCTTTTCTAAGCTAAACAGTCCCAGTCTTTTTAATTTCTCCTCACATTGAAGCTGTTCCATTCCCTTTATCATTTTTGTTGCCTTTCTCTGTACATTTTCCAATTCTAATATATCTTCTTTGAGATGTGGTGAACAGAACTGCATGCAGTATTCAAGATGTGGGTGCACCATGAATTTATATAGTGGCATTAAGATATTTTCTGTTTTATTATCTATCCCTTTCCTAATGGTTTTTAACATTCTGTTCACTCTTTTGACTGCCACTGCACACTGAGCAGATGTTTTCAGAGAACTATCCACGATGACTCCAAGATCTCTTTCTTGGAGCTAATTTAGACCCCAGCATTTTATATGATGTCATATTATGCACTATTACCACTGACATTCATTAAATAATGTAAAAATAATTTTAAAATGAAAAACAAAATAAAGTTCAAAATAAAAATTTCATTTTGAAACTACATTTTTTAATTTTTCCAAAACAAATTTTTTTTCAAATGAAAAAATTTTCCTTTGGGAAGCATTTTTCTTGCGGGAAATTTCATTGAATTTGATATGATTTTATGAAAATTTTCAGTTAAATCAAAATGGCATTTTCTGATGGAAAAATGGTTGAACAAAAATTTTCAGACATGCTATATAATAGACCTTCTTGGTGAAAAGCATAATGTGGAACATTAAGAGCTAGTGGAGAGTATATCGAAGCATGGAACTATGAACAAACTTTTAAACTTTGATTGTTGATCCATTCAACATATAAAAAATCCTATCACCTGGATGAACTGCAAATATACTCAAGAACTATTGCATTTCTTTCTTGCCTGCTCGAGCCACAGATTCCTATACTTTACTAAAAGCTCCTTTTTTGTTCCATGATTTGAGGGCATGTCTACACTTACCTCCGGAGCGATCGATCCAACAGGGGTTGATTTATCGCATCTAGTGAAGACGTGATAAATCGACCGCCGAGCGCTCTCCCGTCGACTCCGGTACTCCACCGGAGTGAGAAGCATAGGCGGAGTCGACAGGGGAGCGTCAGCAGTCTATCTACCGCAGTGAAGACACCGCAGGAAGAACATCTAAGTACATCGATTTCAGCTACGTTATTCACGTAGCTGAAGTTGCATAACTTAGATCGATTCCCCCTTTCCCAGTGTAGACCAGGCCATAGTTTTAATAGCTGGTTATGTCTCTTTTTTCATTCTCTTGGCTCTTATCACTATTTTCCATACCTTTATGACTTCTAAATTGGTTTACTGCAATCTACAATACAAAACTACTTGGAAACTACTGATGGTGCAGCCCACTTTCTGGGCAGTGTTTTGCCACAGGAAATATAAAGCACCAATTATCTAACAACTCTAGTGGCATCTTTTTTCCCCCCTCTAGGGTGATCTATAAAGACCTAAATAATTTAGATCCCTTGTAACACCTACTTTCAGTGTGATCTTGGGCATGTTTTTTAACTCCTTTTAGCTTCAGCTTCCGTCTGCAGTGCACAATGGGGATAGTGATATTTACTTACTAAATAATGTTTGTAATATGGTAAGTTCTGTGAAACATTTCAGCTGTGATAGACACACATCACTCTGTTTACCTATGTGCTATTTGTATTATATTGTACCCAGTCATGCCTTTAGTTTGTAACATCCTTTTTAACAAGGTGCTATTCTTTGTTAAGCATTTTCAATGTACTATATTGCACATCCTCATTAAATTGCACGGTATACATTTTAAATAGTAACAATAATAATATTAATTATTAATGATAATGGCCTTTACCTGGACGGGAATTCTGCCATACTACTCCATCGTATTTTGACTTCTCAAACTTTGGTGGGTTGTCATTAATATCCTGAACATTGATAGTAATAGAGTAGGGACCTTTCACTTTCTGTCCCGCTACATTCAGAGCCTCCACCTAATATTGAAAAGCAAAAGAAATGGCCAGGAAAGATTTTCACTTAAGTGAGTTGGAAAATTGTATCCAGCATGTTAAAGCTGAAGAGTAAAAATGGTCTGAACCTGATCATTTTCATGTGAAGATGAGACAACATAACAGTCATGACAGCAACTGCTGAGACACACTCAATAAATCTTGGTACCACCTCATTTCAAAGTGAGTTTCACTGGAATGGAGCATCATTAGCATACACCCTTATTATAGTTGTTTTATTTTAAGCTTCATTAGTCGTGACACTGTTCATCGGATGATTTTCATTGCACAGTATACAACCATTATAAAGTAGCCCCTGATGTTAGTGACCTGTTTCAGTAGCAGTCTGATCTCCATGGTGGAGACCAGGTAGGTCTTAGGTCTGGAAGGTGCTGGACCAGGGCAGAGTGCTCAGCACCTTTCAGGAGCGACTCCTTAATACTTTCCCTCTTCATATAGAAATTGATGTTTTCCATACCACAGTGACAAAAGCATGAGTATGTGTCTGCTTGAGTATGCTATTCTACAAGTGGCCAGAAAAAGTAAACTGAGCCACAGCGTCAGTCTAAGGAATTAGCCACGGAACAGTGTGTTAGCAGAGCTGTCCAGGGATTTTCCTTTGCATAAACATTTTTGAGATTTTGGCATTTTGGGGGCGGGGCGGGTTTGGGAGGGGAGAGGTTCATTCTGAAAAATCTCAAAAACAAATTGTGGAAAGGAGACTGGAAAAATTCCACTGTGGTAGAACCAAAGCAGAATGTTTTGGCTTGTCAGCTGCCTGCCTGGTTTTTAAAAAAGCAAACTGAAAAAAAAATTCCCTCATGTGGCATCAGTCTGACTCCCACATTGGTCATTGACTAAACTGGAAACTTATATCCCCAGCACAGACCTTTGCCACTTGAGCTAACAGAGTAATTGATAGCAAAGTAGGTTGTCATTCTCTCTATGAGCCAGCACGGGAGAGGGATGAGACAACACTTTGCCAGAAGGTTTCACAGATATTTGCTTAAAGCGGAGGAATGGTGAGACTCAGGAACCTTTGGTTCCATTCCAGGCTGTGGAGGAGAGTGTGCTCTTGTGGACGCAGACTCTCTTCTGCCTGTTTTCCCCAAGCTTCCCCCCTTCTGCTCCAAACCCTCCAACCTGTACCTATCCCAGTCTTGTCTCTTCTCCAGCCCTGCCTCTTTGTCCAAGTCCCATTCTCCCTGCCTCCCCAGTCCCAGTCTCCACTCTTCAGACTTCTCATCCCAGGTTCAAGTTTCCTTGCCTGTCCATTCTTAATCTTCCCCTTCCATGATCCATGTATAAGTTTCAATCTCCTCTACCTACTCCCAATATCTCCCCCTCCCTACTCACAGTCTCCTTCCTCAGGCAGTCCCAGTTCCTCCCTCCCATTCCTCATCTGATCTGTCTCTCCCCACATACTTCCTCCCAGTCCCAGTGTCCCTCCCCAGGCTCCTCGTCCAATCTCAGTCTCCCCCACATTCTCTCCTTGGCCCCTAGACCCAGACTCTTTTGCTCAGACAGTCCCAGTTCTCCCCTTGCACCCAGCTCCTTGTGAAATCTGTCTCCCTTTGCCCCACTTTCCCCCCACACTTGTTCCTAGTCCCAGTCTCCTTGCCCAACCAGTCACAGCCTCCCCTTCCAACTTTTCCAGCCTCTCCACCCAGCTCCCAGTCCCAGTCTCTTCGCCCAATCAGTTGCAGTCTCCCCCTAACTCCCTGTCCCAGTTTCTCTCCCCACCTCCAGTCCCAGTCTTATCAGACTCCTTGGCCCAATCTACTCCATTCACCCCTCCCCCACAATCCAGCTCCTCTCCCCTTTGTATTCAAATTAGACAGCTTCCTCCTCCATGCTGCCTGGATTCCAGGGGCTCAATGAGAGGAGAAGAAAGACAGGCTCCCTGCTCTGAGTTCTGGTGCTGGCCCCACCCTGCCCTAGAGCAGTAATTACAGGAAATTACAGGGAAAGTCTGGTTTCACCCCTGTATTGCTGGCCTGGAGCATGTTCAGTCACTCTGGGAGGATGGTGCACATGGAGTGTGGTCAGCACTAGGAACTGTGAGAGGCTTGAACATGGATGGAATCTTCAGCAATTTTAGCTGCTAAAATGGCAGATGTCTCTACTGAGCATGTGCAAACTGTAACTTTTCAAAGGCTTTTAACTTGTCCAAATTTGGGCAGATTTTCCCCAGGATGACCTAGGGCAAATCTTTGACACAAAAGCTTTCCCCCTGATAAATTTCAAACCCCTGCTCCAAAGCATGGGGTCACTAGTGTCGTTCAAAGAAAAGGACGCCAGAAATTTTTAACAATTTTAACAATTTCTTTCCCTACTCTTGTTCTTGAAAACAGCTGAACCACTCTGGCTGAAATTAAAAAAACAAAAAATCAGCCCGGGGCAGACACCCAGGATGAAAAATTTCAACCCAGGTGGTTAAAATTGGACCAAGTTATAAGCCACTGAAAACAGGATCTTATCATGGGAAGTGTCAGGCAGCCATAGTAGTAAGGTTTCAGAGTAGCAGCCGTGTTAGTCTGTATCCGCAAAAATAACAGGAGTACTTGTGACACCTTAGAGACTAACTAACATAGTAGTAAGTGGCTCTACCAGACCTACAGTCATATCTGGATCATTTATAAAAGGTTTATCCAAGTACAAAGCATTCAGCACACATTTTCAGTGTCCCAACCCCCTCCTCTGATGACAGTAGCCTTCCACTGTAAAAACAGAAACAAGCACTCAAATAAATGAATATAACATAGCTAGCTGTCCCCAGGCTGCCAGATGAGGAGAAATGTCCTGGAGTCAAGCTCTCTACTGGCAATGAATTACGTGGCAGCAAACAGGTTGGTAGGAAATTTCAACTGACATGTCAGTTTCAAATTTCGGCAAAAAAAGAGAAAAATTAATAACACTCCCCAACTCTTTTTCAACCTGCTCCATTTCTCATTTATTTCACCTGTAGCCTGTGGATTTCTTTGTTTTCCCTGTCTAGAGAGCCGTTGAGATAGAGATAGCCGCTAGTTGATGCAATCTCAATGACGCCATCTTTTTCACCAGACAGTCTCAAACTGACAGCAGGCAGCTCAATTGTAAACTAGAGAGGAAAAAAAAAAAGTCAGGGGAAGAGGTTCCTTTTCAGGAATATTTCAGAGAATTTAACTTTCTTAATTCACAATTTTTTAAATTCATTGTCAACATTGCTCCTTGCTAGAGTGGGCAAATGATATTCAAACACATTGGTGTTTTTCCTGTCTTAAATTAGTAGATGAATCATTGTTAACATTACTTTCCCAGCTCTAGGATGCAGTAAGGGGGAAAGCAGACATCTGTCTAAAACGGAGGCTGGTCTGAGTACAGGAATGGAAAAAACATAACACACTCATCCTCCGTCTATTTGAGTATTGGCTCTGCCATTCATCTTTCACTAGAAACAAAGCTCATGACAGTTGGAATGACTATCACTGTGGGTAAAAGGAATCTCTAAAGAAAAGGAAATCAAGTAGAATGCAGTTCACAGATTCATAGATTCACAGGCCAAAAGGCCCACTGTGATAATCTAATCTGACCTGTTGTATAACACAGGCCATAGAATTTTCCCCAAATATTTCCTTTTGAACTAGAGCATATCTTTTTAAAAAAACAACCAATCTTGAATTCAAAATCGCCAGTGATGGAGAATCCACCGCCACCCATGGTAAGTTGTTCCCATGGTTAATTACCCTCACTGTCAAAAATGTAGATGTTATTTCCAGTCTGAATTGGTCGTGTTTCAGCTTTCAGACATTGGATCTTGTTACTCCTTTGTCTGATGGACTGAACGTGAACTGCATGTAATTTCTTAAGTTCATTCTCTAGGAATGCTGATTATAGCAATAGACTATTTTAGATTTATCCTCTTGGAACTCATTTGATAGAGGCTGATGCTTTAAATTTTATCAGCAGGCACTAAATTATCAGATAATAAAAGTCAAAGTTTCTATCATAACACATCTTGGGGTTGCTTTTCCTACTGAAATCAACAGCATAACTCTCATTGATATCAATGAGCATAGGATGGGTCTTTTGAACAAAGAGCTAACACTCAGAGTTAATGATTACCTGGTATATTACATGAACTCCAATTGTACCTTCTGATACAGAGAAAGTCATGTCTTGCAGAGGTCCACTGGCGTACAATTCATTTATACCATGGCACGTAGCCTGTGCAGGAGGGAAGTAGAGGAAGATGATCAATATCTTTTCTATGCTAGCTGCAATTCAACAGTGGCCCTAGCATCACTGCAGTATGAAAAAGAAGCTTTTAAAAAAAAAATTTGCACTAAAATAACGTGAAGTGAACAGTGCTGAGAATGGCTGGCTTTTAATGTCGATTTTTAATGTATTTTTAATTATTTTTCATGCTGGTTTTTAATGTAGATCCATTTTTTTTAATTGATATCATTTTTTAAAATTCTATTTCAAAACAAATATTTAAATGCTGCCTTTTTCCAAAGTAAATATATTACTTAATTAAATGTCACATGCTCAGCTTGCAAAAGGAACCAATTTGTGTGCACAAATGGACTGAGGGCTAGATTGAGACCATACATCTAGTCAGAGCTGTAACTAGGCATTTTAGCACCTGGAGTGAGCAAGCATATTTGCACCCCCTAGAAGCGATGTGTGGCGGGACATGCAGGGTCACCCCTCAGATTTCTGCTTCCGTTTAGCACAGAGGTTTTCAAACTGTGGGGCACACCCACCTATGGGGCGCACCTCACAGTTTGAAAATGGTTGCCTCTTGCCAGGAGCCAGCAGATCAGAAGCTGATGGGAGCCACCCGGCCTGCTCGGGCCCCCGGCTCTTCGTGCCCGCCCTGCCCTGCTCTGTACCTCTGTATGGGTGGGTGCTCCCCAAGCATGGCGGGCAGCCCAGCTCTGAGCTGTGCCCCTGACACACTCTTGCCTCTCCCCCACAAAGCCCAGCTGCTATGAGATGCTCCCCAATGGGCTCACTCGCCGCTGCGGAGCAGCAGCAGAACAGGGACAGTAGCTGGTTCAAGAGGGCATCGCCAGCCGGCATTGGGCTCCTTCAGCATGAGGAGCCAAGGGCCCAAGTGGGCCAGGCATCTCCCAGTAGCTTCCAATCTGCCGAGTCCTGGGAGGAGGTGACAGTTTTCAAACTGTGCTAAATGGAAGGCAAAAATCTTGGGGGGGGGCTGTCCGCCCCCCCCACACACATACTGCCCCATTTTCCCACCCCCTGCACCTTTGCACCCTGGGCAGCTGTCTCACTTGCCCCTCCCCAGTTACAGCCCTGTGTCTAGCCCCCTATAAGGGACAGCAGATAGCTGTGCTGCCCTAAGAGCAGCTTTCTTTCATTCTGACTGGCATCCTGGAGGCTCTGCCCACTCCTGGCTAACATGCCTGTGGTATTGGGGGCGGGGAGGGGCTGCTCTTCCATCCCCTCCTCAGAGTGCTCATGCAGGGGATTGGGGATCAGGGCTTATGCCCCTTACGCCTCTGCTTGTCCATGTAAGGGCAAGTGACAATCTTGCCCAAAATTTGTCAGTTGGTTGAGCTGAGAGCAGAGCGGGCCAGGACCTAACAAGTTTCCAAAGGGTGGTTCTTAACTACAAACAGTGAGGAAAAATGATTTTCCAAATGATGACCAATACCCTTCACAGTGTGTGCCTGTGGATTCGGTCACCTGATTTCTGATATTCATATTCTTTTTTTCTTCTTGTTCAAAACTGACTTGTCTTCATGTCACTGGCTGACAAACCTAGACTACAGCCTGTACAGCAATAGTCTTCCCTATGTACTTCACTACTAAGAACATAATGTAAATACACTGCAGTAGTTATTGTCTTTTTAATGGGATTGACGTTCATTGTAAACATCAGTGTTCCAGCACAACAGTTGTGGTTATGACCAAAGCTCCCTAGGAGTGGACATGCTGTTCGAAGTTTGCTTCCTGCTCTAATATCTTGCTGTGTTATTAAAAACATTAAATAAAACCAGTTTTCTGAAGCAGCTTTTAACATATACACATTAATGTTTCAGTAAGCTCCAAAATTTACAGAACATTTTTAAAAAGTGCTTTTAATGGATTAATAACGTGCAAACATTAAGAATATCCATAGTGCAAGTCATTTCCTTCCCATTAACTTTCTTTTAGCTTTGCCAGGGAAAACACAGAACAACAACTGATCATCATAATGGTACCTGATTAAAATAGGGGCATGGCATGTGATGTCAATACAATTTCCTTAATAAAAACATAACACCATGGTAGTTGTTTATATGAAATTACACATAAAAAACTATGTTAAAAGTTACTCAAAAGTTAGGAACTGCCAGAATAAAGGTTGTCTGGCAACCATGATTCAACTCCTTTGTGCATATGCATTATGATAGCCTCTAATTAATTTCATGATTACATACTGTTTTTTCCACAGGACCCTGCCTCTTTCAGTGCACTGGCTGGATCTGCTTTGGGGATGAATCAAGGTTGTATAGGGAAGGTGGCTGTTGTCTGTGGGACTCCCTGACTCATTTGTTGCAGAAGTTGGAAAGTGTGTAGTGAATGAGGCAGAGGATTAGGGTCTCATAATTAAGGCAGTCGAATGCCACCCTTGAAAACTGGATTCTAACCCTGCCTCTGCCACACAATTCCCATGTGAGGCTAAACAAGTCACTTAAACCAAACTTTTCACAGGTGGTCACTAATTGCATGTTCATCATTTTCTGGGTGCCCAACTTGAGACTCTGGGGCCTGACTTTCAGAGGTGCTGAGCACTCACAGCTGCAACTGAAGTCAGTGGGAGCTGTGTTTTGATTATATTAAGTACTACGTAATGTTAAGTACTCTGAAAATATAGATCCTAAGTACCTCAAATTGGACACCCAAAATTAGTGGAGACTTTGACCTTAATCTCTCTATGCCTCAGCTCTTCATCTGTAAAGCCACCACACCTCACAGGGGTGTTGTGAAAATAAATGAATTAATGCTTGTGAAGCATCAGTGCCATAGAAAAGCCCATGAGAAAATTAATAATTCTGTCTTCAGAGCAGAGTTTGAAGATTGAGGATAAATCAAAATATTGAATAGCTGTTCATTAAGTGGGCACTGGCCATCCTATGCATTGAATGAGGCAGGAAAATAGTACGGATCGTGTAATAAAGATTGCATCATAATGCTACTGGAATAAAATCACTTTTATTCCAGATCAGTGTGTCCACATGTGGAATTATACCAGCATAGCTATAGTGGTATAATTATACTGCTGTGTTCTGCTGGTCATTTTCCCTGTGGAGATAAGCCCAATGAGTGAATCTCGTCTGTTGGATGCCTTCCATCATAAATAAGATCCAGTCCTTTGTGGAGAAATTCACAACAGAAATCCAGAGTCACAGGGCTAGAGACACAAAGGGATTTAGGTGCCTAACTGCTGCAGTAGGTGCCTATGTCCAAAATGTAGATCCTCAAAACCCCCGCTCAGCTGCCACCTAACCCTGTAGGCACCCAAAGTAGCTAAGCACCCAAATATCTGCCATAATGCCCCCACACACACATCTGGAACTGTCAGTGAGCATGCACACAGCCCCCGGAAATAAGTCCTGACACCAATCTCATACCTCATCCCAGGTGGAATCCTCAGACTAGGTGTTCCCTGCCTATCTTGCCTTCAGGGCCCAATTCCATAGGCATTCTGAGAGGTAGGCTCTCAGTTTCATATCCCCCTCTTCATGATTTGCTCCCACATCTCCCAGGAGAGCACCCTAACCACTGAGCTATGGGATATTCTGGGGTGGGGCTGTTTCTCTCAATCTCTCCCCTTGAAACTGTTCCACTTTGTATAAATAATTATATAGTCATTAGAACAAGGATGTGAACTTGTGTCTCCTGCAGCCTACATGAGTACCCCAACCCCTAGGCTATAGCACTGGTGTCATGCTCTCTGGCCCACTGAATATTTAATTATTTATACAAAGTGGACCAATGCTGAGCCTAAGTTCCCTTCATGGATCTAGCCTCTGGGTATTATGCAGCAAAGTGCAGCCGTGTTAAAGACAAGTGTATTCAAAGTACATGCTTCCATACTTACTTTCCAGGGAAAGACTTTATACAAGCTATGACAGAGGACTTGCAAGGCTCAGTACAGTTTACCATGAAGTGCTATTGTGCTGTGCTTCAGGTGAAGTTCAGCTGACATTGGATCCTACTGTGAGAGAATGATGACCGTGGAGCTGACACCTTTACTTACATAGTGTTTGTGCCCTATTGTGCAAGTCGGCTCAGGGAGTTCAGAAGGGCTTTTCAAGAAGTAAGATCCCTCTCAACAAGAGCAAAGGAGGCAGAATCCGGCCTTATAGATTGTAAACTGTTTTTTTTTTATTATTATTATTGTTGACCATTGGTTTTGGAGGGATTTTACTTTGTCATGTTTTATAGGTTGATGTGTCTATTCTGAAGGAACAAAGGCTAATATTGTTCAGTCTAACTGTAGGGTTCAAAGTTTAGCTCTTGTATCAAGCAGCAGCTATCTCATCCTGTCAATTAAAACTGCTTTATATGAGCCATAAACATTTCCTAATGCATGAGTATGTTGTGAATCATTATTCATGAACCAACAAGGAAGCGCTGTTTACCTTTTTGGTCTAGTTTCTGTTTGGCAGTTGCTACAATCCTGTACAAACTATAACCATTGCAGTACAATTTCAGGAGTTCTATAGGTGCACCAATTGGCAATAAAAATTTGAAGTACAACAAGGAACATAGGATGAGTCTTTCAATCCTATGTTCACACAAGTAATCTACTGAGGACAATGGGATTTATGAGAGTAATGGTTATACTGGTCTCCATATTTGGGGGGGGGCATTGTTTTATTATAGGTTTGATCTGACTCTTTTATACTTTATGTTAGTTACAAATGCAGCTTAGAGCCCCAATCCTTCAGCCTTTACACATATCAGTAATGTCATTGACTTCAATGGGCCTGCTCCCATAAATGAGGATTACTCATATGCGTAAAGGTTGAAGGTTTAGGCCATAGATATGAAGTTAAGTAAAATAAATAAGTATGATTTAAATGATATAGCACAGTCTGTCCTAAGAAAATGCATTTATATAGCAGCACAAGTGTAAATTATAATACAGAGCACAGCACTAAACTAGTGTAAAAAGTCATCATTGTTTGATGATGTAGGGTGGAATCATTCTCAAATCTTTATTAATGTGAGGTTCAGCTACAGCAAAGAGAAATACGACACCATGTCTTAATCATTCTCCCTTAGCAGATTTAGTTACTATAGGAGAAGTGTAAGAAGATCTTTTTATTTAAAGCTTGTCACCAAACTGTTTTTTTAAATGACTGACATTAATTGTAATCTTTTGAATAAGGATATGAATGTCCAGGATTTTTATCCACAGTCAGTATTATAAAAATTCTACATAGAATATGTTGCCCATCCTACTTTTATACTGAAATGCCATTTATGAAAGATAATTTAAGGGCCTGGATACATCTGTTGATATTCATAGGTTTTTACCAACTAAACAAAAGAAAAAGCAATCACTCACCAGGTGAAATACCAGGAGATAGAGTAGATGAAGTCCACAGAGCTTAACCATCTTGATGATTTCTTTTATTTTGGCTTCTGTGAATGATTACATAATAGTTTACAATCCATTCATCTTAGTCCATCAGAATTCTCATTCCATATATTTATAAATAAAGGTTTAAGCCAAACTTTTAAAACCTGGGTGCCAAAAGTCAAGCTCCCAAATCCATATATAGGCACCTAAATTAATGCTAAATTAAAGCCTCCTGAATTTCAAAAGAACTGAGCACTCACAGCTCTCAATGACAGCCAGGGCAGTTCAGTGCTCTTACATTCAAGGTTGCTATTCAGGAGCCCATCACAAGGAACCCAGCTTTGAAAACTGTGGGTTCAGTTGTGTGTATCACTTCCTGTCATAAATCTAAGGGACTGGTGGAAATGAAATTCCCTTCTCCTCGGGTTAGAACACCTCCACTTAAAGGACTAGACCAATTCTGTAAAGCAGTGCTGACACGCAGTGAAAGTTAATGTTGCAAAAAGTAGTGGTGGTCTCTGCATTGATCATATTGCAGTTGAGCGCTCAGCACCTCTGCATCTTGGCTCTCCCCCATTCCCCAGTACACAACCTTAAGCTACCAAGCCCCAACCACAGGGAGGGAAGAACATATTGTGGAGGCAGAGCCCTCTCTAGATTCCCTGCTTTTAGGGCTTTTCCATCCCATTTAATTCTTCTGTTGTGTCCTCTACAATTCACAGGAGAAGGCAGTTTCTGGACTCATGCATAGGAACTATATTGCCCAGCACTAGTGCCCAGCACTAGGAAGGCTGTATTTGTTTCACTGTATACAACAGTGCTACACAAGAGGAGCTTGACTTTGCACTCCCCCACCCACCCATGTGAGCAGGCATTAGTGATATAAAGAATCCCACTGAACTCAGGGTGGCTACTTGCAGGGACAAGGCCTAATTGCAGAGGTATAGAAAGAAGAAAACTGCTCTCCACTGAAACTGCAGGAAGAAGTTAGATAAACCGAAAATTTGCATTTTGCCAGGAAACGGGTTCACATCCCACCCAGTTGTCGATTATCCTGGCAAAGGGGGAAGTGAAGAAGGTGACTCACTTTTCCATGTGCGGCAAGAGAATCGGGGGTGTGGTCTGAGCAGTACTGAAGGAGAAACCCTTGGAGCAGCCAAACCTGGGGAGATGGTTTGATCTGATCTTTATGTTATCTTACTGGAGGAATTCCCTCCCACTTTTTAATAAAGCCAAACCCCAGAAAGAGGATGAGTTTTGACTATACATACCATGGAGACTATGGTAGCAGAGTAGGTTGGCAAAGGTACCCACTCATGTGGCAGTTATATACTACCTCGTCCACTTAAACCAGGGATCGGCAACCTTTGGCATGTGGACCATCAGGGAAAGCCGCTGGTGGGCCGGGATGGTTTGTTTACCTGCAGCATCCGCAGGTTCGGCCGATCACAGCTCCCACTGGCCGCGGGTCACCGTTCCAGGCCAATAGGGGCTGCGGGAAGAGGGGGCCCGGCCCTCACCGCTTCCCGCAACCCCTATTGGCCTGGAACAGCAAACTGTGGCCAGTGGGGGCTACGATCGTCCGAACCTGTGGACACTGCAGGTAAACAAACTGCCCGGCCTGCCAACGGCTTTCCCTGATGGGCCGCGTGCCAAAAGTTGCCGATCCCTGACTTTAACCTATCCCAGCTTGACTGAGAATTACAGTAATATGAGGGATACATTGGTTTGGTAAATTATAGTTTGGGGAAGGCCTATTTTTCCTCCAAATTTCATATAATTCCTTATCAAACATATTTATAAAACAGGCCACTGTATCAGTTGATAAAACCTAGAACAGAGATTTGATCAATGCTTATTTCTTCATCATAACCTTGCACACTGAGAGGTGGGACCAGTATTTCTCAGGTGGCTAGAGTCTCTTACCAGATCTCTTACGCTCTGGCATTCCCAGGGGTCAGAAGCCCCTGAAATGCACAATTCCCTATCGCCCAGGAAACCTCAGAACTCATGAATCCAACTGATCCAACTCAGCTGGTCCAGTATAGAATGCAAATCCAGCTGAGACTTAGAGAAGGGTTTTAGCTAACATACAAGAACAGTATAGGGTTAAGCAGAAGGAGCAATATCTACCTAAGCTCTTTCTAACACACACACAAAAATGGAGAGTTTGACAGCTGAGATCCAGGCTGAGGGTTGAACTAGTTCATTTCACCCACTTCTCTTTTCCTAACCAGTTTATATATCCCTAATGATCTTTTTTATGGATCCTCTGTCTAAAAACACTTAAAAATGAAATATATATGACTCTAGGGTATCCAATATGCAAATATACAAGCAGTTTTGGGTAATAAATGCTCTGTGAGTATAGTACCTATTTCCAGATGAAGAGTTAAAAGTCTCTGATTACATGAAAAGTTTTTAAAAAAACATATTTTAAATGCCTGCTTTGTATTTTTTGTTTTAGAGATTCAAGTTTTAAAGTATAAACTACTTTGCCTTGAAGGAGAAAATTGATCTGCATCAGATACAAACCACTCCTAACACTAGCAATACAGCCTTCCATTTTCCAAGGAAAGGAAAAGCGCAGGCCATCAAGTTGCTAACATCACCAAAAACCCAACTCCCTTGCTTTGGCACTTAAAAAACTTCCAAAGAAATGTTAGTTAGAGCACCCCTTACCTTTAGTATGAAAATGTTGTTTCCCTCTAAAATATATTTCCCTCTTTGAGCCTTTAGAATCACCTGCGGCAGTTAATGATGTCTCTCTGTGTATCTATGCACAGTTTTTGGTTTCTCAGATTCTCCCTGCAGGTTGGCTCAAACATTAACTACATTGATTACTATTGCTCCATAATGACTAGGTGTGGCATGAAATGGCAGCTATGAAAGGAAGTAGTATAGCCATGAAATAACCTACTCCTCTTTAAGCATTTTTACTTACCTTCGGGATTTCAAACTGAACTCTGCTTTTGAGTAAGAGAGCAAGGAGCTACGGGTAACTAGTTACATAGATAGGAATAATTTCTCCTCTCAGCCTCTATCTGTAAGAGAGGAATTGGAAAGGGATGTACAAAGGGCACTGTCCTTCTGGGGAGATACTCTCTCTGTCACTTTGTTAGTAACGGCGATGACTCAAGATCAGAAGACAAGAACTTGGACATGAGGGTGACCTGTCTTTGTGACCGTTGATCAATGCCGAGCAAAGAGAGTCTGTTCACTAGGAATAGTGCACCCGACTGGGACTTTGGATATTTGGGTTCAAATCCTAGCTCTGGCACAGATTTCCATGGGCTTGACTTTGGGCAAGTCATTTAATTCCATCTGGAATTGTGGATAATATTTCCTTCATCCCACCTTTTGTCTTTCATGTCCATGTAGATTGTAAATGCTTCAAATCAAGGAATATCTTTTACTTTTTGTATGTACAACAGCTAGTACAATGACATGTTGAGTTCAGTTGGGGCCTCTAGTCGTTACTGCAATACAAATAATAAATCAAATAGCATTGAAACTCTTCTCAGGAGGAACGGCAGTTTTTAAAACTCTACCATGCAGTGTGCTAGGATTCTTTTTATTCTAATTTCTTAATTTGCTTTTTATTTCATATATTTTGAGTCCACAGTAGGTTTACTTTCTTGTCCAATATTTTGAAACAAAGATGCAGATGTTAATCCTTATCCAGATTTTAACTTCCATTTTAGCTTTCCTAAATATCCTATCACACTCTTATTTGTTGCTTTATTATTTCTGTAATGTCCGAAGCATTTCCTGAGTTCCTATTCTATATTTTCAAAAAACAAATTTTAAATCAATTGCAACTTTATGTGCTATAAAAGGTTAGCTTTCTGTTTGGACTCCAGATCACAATCTCAACCTGAAATCAATATTTTAGTATTTATTCCTGAAGGAAGAGAGTTTTGATTTATTATAGATTTTAACCTGCTTTCCAGCACAAAGTGTACAGTGTGTCATTTACCCATAGACTCACAAAGGATGTTGATCCTCTCAAAAGCTGCACCTTATGAGCAAATTATCTTTAGAGCACAATACAAAACCAACTCCTTCCTTTATCTATTAGATCACTCTTTAAACTACTTAGAAGTAGTATAATATTATATATATTATATGAGTGAGACAAATCCATTCCTGGTGTAAATAGCTTAAAGTCAAGTGTTTTACACTAAGTCTGAGTCTTTTTTATTGCAGTCACAAGTGAATAAAACAGTAAAGCTATTTTCAATATAATGCATTATATTTCAAAACAGTAAAGTCTCACTGGCTATAACAATCAAGTGCACATAAAAGACCGAGTGTCAAAATTAATTCTCTTTTACAGTGATATAAATTCGAATAACTCTTGAATTAAATTAAATTACACTGGTGTAAATGGCCCTAGATTTTGGCCTTAGAACTCTAAGATGCCTATTATTAGGAGCTACAAGATGATTCTATTCCAGAGACTTAAGTTGCAAGTTCTGTTTAACTGAATGCATGTCCAGTGAGAGCTTAGAAAAATGTGTGTTGTTGATTGTGATGTACTTTTTAGACATCATGGCATATTGTCAGCAAAGTCTGTTAACCCCCTTTGTCTTTCCCTGACCGGAGTAATTTCTTGGGTGCAAAGCTACTGCTCCTGGTTGTACCCACACAAGAAAAAAAAAGTCATGATGTCAAAAACATTACAAAGTCCAGAAGCACTTAAGGTTTTTCAGCAGTCATAACATGGTGCTACAGATTAAATTGCTACAAGGAGAAACTCAATAGGGAGGGTGGTTTCTTGATCCAGCTGTTTCTTTCAACAAATGTGATGGAAAAAAAGCCAAGTGTTCAGGTATTTATTATGTGATTCATTGTTAAGTGAGTCAGTTTTTCCAGAGACAGCACTTCCCACATCTTTGCTCATATCCTCCTCACCCTATCCATTTTTCACCTTTGACATTCCTCCCACTCCTCTACTTCTCTTTTGCTATTCCATTTTCTTTTATAGTTTTACCACTCTCCTCAGTTAAACTGATATTGTTGTACATCCTCCTCTTGCACAATTGGATGGCCCTCTGTAACCACAGCATCTTTTCTTATCTGCTTATACTGAGATTATTGTTACTTTTCTGAAACCTTTTCAAAATGTGTTGTGGAGCACATTTCTTTTATAGTAGTCGCATTATGATTTGCAGTGAGCCGGCACCAAAGAAGGAGGTGATAGACTTTGGATGTTCTTATTATCCATGTAGGTTGTCATGTAATGGAGCCAAATAATTCTTTTGGAATAAATAGTGCATGTTCCAGTGACTACTGTTATTTACACTATTTATTGTAAGAGCGCCAAAGGAGATTAAAAGCTTGTGTTTCAGATAGAAGTTGCACAGAAGAGCAGCACTGTGCATTAGAGAAATTCATTTTCTTGAAACATTCATGGGACCTCTGTCTAATTCTAGTCTGCACTTGGAGTGAAGTATGCATATCACTTATGAACTGTGTAGTTCCACGTTTATTACCAGCTTATATTTCCAAACTATGATTTTTTTTCTTGTTGTTCCTATATGCTGGAGAGGCAACTTTTTGCAGCTACTGGGCATTTTTCATTTATGAAAAGATGTCTCCAAATGTTGTGAGATTCAAGACATATCATGAAACATATTATAGAATCAGAACAAAATAAGGGGGCAGCTCCTGCTCCCAGTTACACTAGATTAATCCTGTTTAGAAAGCAGAGATACTATATTATGACCAGAAATGATCTCATGAACTGAGACTGGCATTCATTTATATTTATTTGATTATAATAATGTACACCACTGAAAATGCAAGGGCAGCTGGCCTTTAGGATCCAGGATGCCTAGAGCTTGTGAGTGGTCCCTGATTTGGGTGACCTAAGTTTCCTCATCAAAATAGCCCTCAAAATGCAAACTGATCTTTAGGGTTGAAATTTTGCCACTGCAAATTTTCCTAAAGATCATGGGATACTCATAGCCCCACTAGATGCCCAGGTCTGGACTTTGGGACCCACGAGACCTAAAGCCATAGGTCTTTTGATTTACATAGGGAACTCAAAATATCCCATCTTTTTAGGAAGGAGGGGTTTGAGGCCGAATTAGAGGTTAGAGGCACCCCAAGCTCCTTTCCCCCTCGCTGCTTGCAGTTGAGATGTTCCTCTGTTGAGCAACCACTGTAACCTCTAGCCACAAGATCTAAAATTTAATAAGAGACAGCCTGGACTAGCAGACTAAGTTTGGGACGTAGAGCAAGGGACTCCTGTATGCTAATCCCAATTCATTAAGATCAGGGTTGCCCCAAAGAAGCATTTATCTGACCCTCCCCAAAATCCTAGTCCTGTTACCATGCGTAGCAGTATAATCACAGTAGACAGGATTTAATTACCTTTGGTGGAACCTGTAACATTGTTACCCACTATAAACATCAAAGCCTGGCTCTGACAGTGACAGCAGTGGGTCAATCCAAAGCTCTGCTGGGCTCATCTCAATTGCATTCTGCTTAGTCTTCTAAAATGGCGTGATTTATTTTCATCATACTGATATAAATGTACTAAACTATACTAAGAATTAAACATGGAAACAGAGCTTCCATCACCTTTACAAGAGACCAGCTTGAGCCACTGGGTTGGCTTCAAAAAAATCACAAGATTTCCCCCCATCAAATCTGGTTGTCGGGGTCCCCCTGAGATGGGGGCCCTGTGCAGGTGCACTGAGTGCATATTGGTTCATCCATGCCTGAGAATTCTGGATTGCAGGAATCTACAGGAATTCTGAATTGCAATGAAGGTACTGAAAGCGTAAATGGCCAACTCGTCGCTCATTTCAATGAGTGTTCCATTAAGAATAATGGACCAGTGAACATAAATTCATTTCCGTCGGAAAAATACCTGCTTATCAATTCTGTTGCCTCTAATCCGAGTGGAAATGTGTGCTCTGGGTGTAGCTGTGCACATCATCTGAAACGTTGTGCACTTTAGCAGGGTTACTATCTGTGGACTTGAGCCCTACTGGGAACTGGCAGTATGCTTTAAAGAACATAACAGTATATGGTACTTAAACCACAAATCAACAATTGGATCAATTCTCAGCCAGAATTTTATCTATTGTAAGAGAATTTCTATACAGTACAGGCCTAGCCTAACTCAAATTATCTACTTTTGTGATCAAGGCCTATTCTCCTGTGTATGCATTTACAGGGGGAGGCCCTTATTCTACAAGATTTTTTTTTCTATTTGTGTGCACATTTATACTTGCAGTTATTTAAAGTGGACATCATTTAATGTAGCATTTGCAATATTTCCTTTACTTACAGGGAAATCCCACAATAATTTTAGCTACCGCCTGTGGTAAATATCCAGTTTTTCTTGGCTGACTGTATACATGCTATTGAGTGAGATCCTGTGGGACTACCCGTGTGAGTAAGGATTACTCACATGAGCAAATATCTGTGTTATTGGACTAGCTATACCAGTACATTTTTTATATTCACTTTCTCTGGATTTTCAAAGATTAGTAATGCAGCTATTTTAGTTCATTCTCTGCCTCCGGTTTTACTTGGATGGAAGTCATAAGTACAAACACTCTGGTTGATGAAAATTAATGTAACCGCCACATCTTTAGCATGTTGTACTTTGTGTTCATTGTATTTAGAGCTGGCCAGCTAATGGAAATAGCTTCCTGTGAAATATGTTGTGGTTTTGAAAAATGTTTCATCCCGAACCAAGATAAAAAGTAAAA